TGTTTGTAGGACCCAGTAGAGCTGTGGACTCTGGAGTACAATTGTCCCCACAGAACCAAGCTCAGGAGCCACCTGTGCCCTTATTCCCTCACGCTGAGTCCCGTGTCTGTTCGGTTTGTCTCCAGCACTCCCCAACTTTGTTCCCAGCATGTATACTTTTTGGTTGCCATTTTTACTGGAATACAGTCTCTTCGTCCCATGTTCCATGAAAGACCACATAATCACTGACATTGCTGGATGAACTTCTGAACCAGTTTGGGCCAGTCCAGGAATGTTTGGAAGTGTGTAACTTGAGTCTGCTTTTGTTCCCAGGTGTCGGCCCGGCTTCTGTGATGGTTGGGAATCTGGTTGCAGGTAAACGCATAGCACAAGCTGCAGGAAGGGACCTGGGGCAGATTGAAGAGAATGATCTTGTGAGGAAGGTAAGTTCCAGACATGTCAAGTTTCTATCAGTGAGCTCAGGACAGTGCAGATCTGGGTTCATTCCATGAGTCCTTGAGACTTGCTGACCTCAAGTCCTTCCCTCTGCTTTGTGATTTTAGCACCAGTTCCTGGCAGAGATTTTGCAGTGGCGAGCCCAAGCAACTCCTGACCATGTACTCTTCATGCTGTTGAATGCCAAGGTATTACACACATAGCATGGACAGGCCCTGAGTTCAATCCCCATCACTACCTAACTGGGCATGGCGGTGCACGCCTGTAATCCCGGCACTGGAGTTAAACTCATCGTCCTCAGCTACGTATGTAGGAGACAGGGGACACTGCCTCCACACAAGCAGACAGACACATGAATAGAATAATTCATGTGTACTAAGAAAGAAACATTAAGAAAGAAAGACTATAAATACATTTGGTTTAAGTAAATGCTAACATACCCTGAGTTCCTGGGACACTGGGAGAAAAGAAGAAATACCGTACCCGTTTTTTATTACCAGGGGAGTTTTCTCAAGTGAATCCTTGGCCTAAGGTGATGTTCCAGAGGCCAAGCCTATGAAGTGTGATGTGTGCTTGACTGTGCTTGTTTGTGCTTGTTTCTGTACTGAACATCAGCCCACTTATCCTTCTTCTCTTGAAAGGGAACTACTGTGTGCACAGCCAGCTGCCTTCAGCTTCATAAGCGAGCTGAGAGGATTGCATCAGTACTTGGTGACAAGGGACATCTAAATGCAGGGGACAATGTGGTATTGCTCTATCCACCTGGTAAGTGTTGGATTGGTAAACTGGACTCTAAACTGTTCTGAGATGACACATACCAGGAGAGGAGAGGATGGGAACTCAGGGCCACTATCTGCTACCACAGAGGCCTGGTGCTCTGCACCACCACAGCTCTGCATGCGCCCTTGCTAAGGTGTGACCCAGGCTGCATCCCCAAAACTGAGCAGTGGGACGGCTCTGCTGAGAGTGTCTAGTTTGCAGTCCCTCTGTTTCCGTCAGTGCCTGCTTCATACAGAGTCCTCAGGCCACATGTGGTAGCACACTGCTGTCATTCCAGTCCTCAGGCGGTACCAGGGGAATTAGAGTTACATAACAAGTTATAGACATATCTAGCCTGAGCTGTTTAACAAGACTTCCAAGTACCCAACATTGGTAACGCACACCTTTAGTCCTAGCCCTCAGGAGGCTGAAGTAGGTAGACCTCTGTGAGTTAAGGCCAGCCAGAACTACATGGTGAGATCTGTCTCAAAACAAACAACAAATAGTCAGGCAAGGAAGCACACACCTAATAATACTTGGGAAGTAGAGGCTAAAGGATCAGGAGTTCATGGCCAGCCTCATCCTCACAGCAAGTCTGTCTTAGAAACAAAACAAGTAGATGCCGAGGAGAAAGCTCAGTAGGTTAAGTGATTGCTACAGAAGCATAAGGCCCTGGGTTTAGAGCCCCAGCATCCACATCCAAAGTGAGGCTTGGGCCAGTGAAGGAGCTTCGTGGGTAAAAGTGCTTGTCATGCCTGATGACCTGATGTTGATCCCAGGAGCTCAAGGCAGTAGGAGAGAACCAGTTCCCAAAGTTGGCCTCTGACCTCCACATGTACACATATATATCACACATATACACAGAGATACACATATACTAAATAAGTATATATATATATATATATATATATATATATATATATATATATATAAAATCCTGGCATGGTGGTATGCACCAGCAGTCCTAACCTTGCAGAGACAGAGACAGGTTGGTCCGTCAAGCTCCATGGCCATCTCGTCTAGGCAAATTGGTGAGTTCCAGGTCCACTGAAAGAACCTATCTCAAAATATAAGGTAAAGAGACCAGAGAGATGGATCATCAGTTGAGTTCTTGCTATTTTTCCAGGAGTCCAGAGTGAGTTCCCAACTTAGTGACTCACAACCACCTGTAATTCCAGGTTCGATGCTCTGTTCTGGCTTCTGCAGACATCCGCACACATAGGTACCTGCTTAGACACAGACATCCACATACACAGGTACGTGCTTAGACAC